ACAATTGTTTGTGACATATGGAGCATGGATGTAAATTACAAATGGATGCAAGGTGCAAATTGCGTCTTATGTCCTCGAAAAACAAGCATACTCGAGAAGCATATAACATTACTTTCACTAATTGCTTTTGCAGCTCCCTTGTGCAAACAGATCAAAAGCTGTTCAGCCTAGCCCTGACGACACAGTGACTGATAAATTTGTAAATCCCGAAAAAGATTTTACTGAAAATATTTTAGCCCTGTAGGGATAAAATATTGCCACGAGACTGAGCGTAGTCGATTATCCATAGTCCATCCGTCTCTAAGACTACTAAGAGTCACCGGGTGTCAGTCCTGGAACCCGTCGGAAATGCGATACAACGCCCGAATCGCAGAAAATCAAGGTCTCACTTTACTCCCATTTTGAAGAGATCGTTTCGGGCAAACAATTAATACATTCCTATGTGAATTTCGGAAAACCCAGGCTATTTTGCCAAAGATTGGGCGAATTCATCAGTCATCGATTGTTCTCATGGATAAGCTTTTAATTGCATTTTTCCTTCTATTTCGTGCAGTAAGTTCAATTAAACAAAAATAATTTCTTCTCAAAATTCGAATACAAACACGCGCCTAGACGGGCAGTATGATGAGAATCCATAGTGAAGCATTTAGAATGACGGTTAATTGTTAGTTATTTTCTTTTTTCGTGTGTCTTAAAATGTTCTTTTCTAAAAGATTGTTATTATTTAGTTTTCTTGTTGTTGGGATTAATAGTCGATGCACACCAGAAGATCGTCTTCTAATTAACGCGTTTGCCTACGAACTTGATCCTAATCGTACGCCTCAAGCAAACACACTTAACTATTGGGATAGTACTATGCAAGATTTACTCAGCTATCTACAAAGTCATCTATCCGACGAAATGTTCGAGCGTTTGAGTACGTTAATAATAGAGAGACAGCGATACAAGCAATATTTGTTGATTCTTTTTTCTTTGTTCAGGAGTATTGGAGAGTCCTCTACCTCAGCCGTCTCATATGTTTGCATGTGGGATCACATTGTTAGCGAATGAGAACTTACCACCAAAACCAAAAAATCAAATATTGATTACGACTGAACTGAGAACAACAGAAGCCGATGCACGTAACGCAGCCGCACGAACAATGATCAAAATATTTCGTATTGGTCATAAAACACAAAATAGACCAGGAGTGAAATGTCAAGTCGTTATGAAAGAGCCTTCTTAGAATGCAAAGAACTGAGGAATGTATTCTAGGAACCACAGCCACATTTTGAATAAAAACTATTCAAAGTAGTTTCATCTTCGCAAAATAACATGGATTATGTGTTTAAGTCATATTAGCTGTCTTGCATAGTATAAAATAATATAGTCAGAGCACAGATCATTTCAGACGTCGCAAATTTAACTCATTCAACTAGCAGCTCATTAAGTGCTTTGAGATTGAATATATCAGTCACAATAAAGCCCTGCAGCTTAATCCTAGGATTAATTATGGATCGCCTTTACGTTTTTGTAGAGTCATAAAACATCTCATCTAACAATTCAAAATAGAATTTTTGGGAATTATTCAATCTGCCAAGAAGCTAACACACAGAAAGAACATTCTCGAAATATTTTTAAAATTCTGAGAAATTACTCTAGTGGAAAACTTATTCGAATCTTACTAAGATCTTAGTAAGATTTCGCTTACATTTGTCTAAGATCTTAAACAAACCTTACTAAGGTCGTAAGACCCGAAAATTCTAAGATTTGGTAAGATTTCTAAGATCATAGACAAATGTAAGCGAAATCTTACTAACGAGGGAACGTTCCCTCGTAAGATTATATTTTATTTTTCAAGATCGAATAACAATTTGTTAGAATCTTAATAGTAAGAACGCTGATGTTTTTTAAATAATATTTATTCGAGATTCGCTGAAAATTTTTCAGTTTTTAATCCGCATTATCCAAAGCATTTGTAATCGCAGATGGGGTCCCGATTGAGAGAAATTTGAGTCAGGTCGAAGTTCAAACTTCGACGAGACTATATGATCTAAAAGAAAAGTTTAATCCGAAGAAAAAATCAAGTTTCTCGAATTTTTCTGTATTTCTTTTATATCTTCATGGGTGGAAAGTATAATGGTGAAAGGATATAAACGGTTACCGGGCGATATTTTCTTCGACCGCGGTCTAATAAGTTACCGTCGGTTAACCGCATGATATATCAGCGATATTTTGTTGAACTGCTGGCAACCGGTATTTTGAGAAAAGCTCGACGTTGTATGACGGAGCAGAGAAATAATGAGTAGCTTTTTATTTATCAATTATAATTTCACAATCGCTGTTAACGGTACACTCTCGATTCGTCCCTAATCCCTAATACTTGCTCTCACTTTTAATGTCATCTCTGACGTTCTTTGACCTGCAAAGCCAACTACGGACGAATCGAACGGATACCTTTTTAACGCTTATAAAGAGAACAGACTCTTTTACAGCTGATATATCTTGTTTTCTTGAAGATATTTACATTCGCAAGCTCATATTTACAGTCTTTGAATTTCTTTCCGTTCAAGACAATCTTCTATGTTATTACATGACATAGGTCCTCTTATTAATGTTGAATAAAAGTTTTTCCCGTTGTGTTCTGATTGAACAAATATGATAAAGTTTTAGTACTCGACGACGATTGCCACCATCCCCGCTATAGAAAATATGACCATGCGAGTTTGTCGTAATTAAAAAATAAAATTATCTTGATATTTCAAACTGAACTTGTTTTACTAAAAAGCAAAATGTATTACTTTGCTACGTTGTTTTTTAAAGACTGTTCGGGTCCGATAAAAAAGACTAGATCAAGAATGAAGGTTGCACCTTATACTAATTAGGCAAACTTCAGACGTTCTGCTCGTATAGCGGAAAAATCTAAAGTCTCTGTTGCACTCTCTGAAAAGAATATTTCTAATTTACTACTAAGCAAAATAAATCTGCTCTCTTTCGACACATTCAAGACACAAATCATACAATCAATAGCAACGGTTATAAAATTCTTTTGAGTGACAATAATGCGTATCATCTTCTGATTAAGAGAAGTCCAGCACATCAACCATAGTGCCAAACCTCTGTCAAGTGAAATGTTTTAACCTACAGTCGGCTCAGGCTAGTGGAAGTAAGCTGTATGATTGTCCCGAAGAGGGATGTGTGGCTCCGTTTATCAGATACGGAAATTTAACTCAACATTTATGTACAGGAAAACACCGACGTCGAATAGAACGTAGTTCCATGCGAGACATGGGTATGACTATGTACAACTCGAAACTGGAAAATATTGAAGTAAGATCAATGATTTCTCTTCAATTAGAAGAGACTACACCTGATGATGATGACGATGATACAATTCGTATTACACCACCTGACAGAGGATGGGTTTTGCCAAAAGAACGAAAAGTGACACGTCTGAATGAATCTAAGATAAAATATCTCACTGAGAAGTTCATTGAGGGTTCGATTTTAGATCAGCACTAAAAATTCTCTGTTGCATAATCCGCCTTTTTTCAAAGCTTGTATAGTTTGTACAAAAGATTGAAATACAGTCATCTAGCATACATATACCGGATATGTATAAAAACTTGAGATGACATTATCTTAACAATGAAAAATAACACCTCGGCGAAACTTTCAGAAAACCTTGCTTACATAGTGAGCTTTCTCGTAATGGTATCATAGTTTAAAAAGTTTCTGTCTAAACGATGACTTTATAGCTCACTATTCTTAAATATC